AGATTTTTTTGAAACCAGGGAAAGATATGTGAATAGTCCAGTAATGGACTAAAAATACTGTACAAGTGGTCATCATACGGAAATGCGTCAACCTGCTCAGGCAAACCAGTGATGAGAGGGAAAAATATATCTGATTTAGATATAAAAGAGAAGAGATACTGGATCTTATTCAGCCTTAGGGCCATCCTCATTAATATGCAAAATATGCAGCTGCGGGCCCCTGCCCCCATCTCCTGGCTGCTTCTTCCATCAGCTGGCTCTGTACCAGCTCATGTGGTCAGCCCTATCCCCCAGACATGCCGGTGAACCTCCCCTCCCCACAGGCAGTGCCCAGCCCTGCATGGTCTCAGGAGGAACAGAGGACAGCCACATAGCCTGCAGCTGGAAAGAAGCAGCTGTTCCCGCTTCAAAGCACTGCTTATCTCTGGCTGGCTGCACAGCTGCCCCCTGCTCCTCCAACTTGTGCTCACACCACTCGTCACCGCCTGTGATTCCTGTAAGCTTCCCCTGAGGCTATCAGGTGAGCATCCCACCCTGCCCTGCTCCTGCCTCGGGTTGCCAACTCTGCCAGCTGGACAGACCGGCTGACATTTGCAGCAATGGTGTCCTGCCTCTGGTCCTGGAGAATTGGCAGCCCTACTCCTGCCCCCACGGTCCTTCCCCCATGGGGTTGCCAGTGCTGTTCTGGCAAAAGGCACCAGCATAGGTAGGGACCGCCCCATTCATCTTTCAGTAAATAAGATATATTTAATAACGCCATGGCCATGAAAAACCATGACAAGAAAGAAAATATTATAAACCCAGTATTGAACTAGAAGAGAGATTGGATCTTATGCATCCTTCATCAAAAAGGAGAACTAATGGTGGGCGAGAAGGTACATTTGACAAATGATGAAAGAGCAGACCTACTGGACTTTGGTCTTCCTTTTTGTTTCCACCAGGATGACTGTGGCAAATGGCAATTTACAAGCTCAACCCTTTTGTTATAAAGATTAGGTTTTTGAAGTGCATATAATAGGCATTGGACCAGTGTTTCTATTGTACGTCTGTGAACTATTTCCTATCAATATTGATCCAATTGTGTTCCAGCAAAGACTTAAATGTAATGGTGAAAATGATTAGTTAGAACAGCCCTTTTCCTGTTTTATTGTTTATATTTTCATATACTGGCCCAGAGTTCGGCCTTTTGAGTGAATAAAAAGCAATCCAGATAACTGGAAAACCATTAAGCCATGACAGAAATGCTCAAGGCCTTAGCAAAAATCTTTCTTCATGTTTTTCCTTTCATGCGGGATGTTAGTGATCTCTATCTCCATTCTCCTTCCCTGACCATACAGTGACATTAATTCTGCCCTCTTTCCAGTTCAATGATCTGACAAGAGGAGTATACCAGACCATTGCAAATACTTGCACAGAGAGCCAGCCATACCCTTCTAAGAATTAATAAATCACAACAGAGATCCTGCAGGTTATCTAACATATTCTTGAACTATTGCTAGGTTCTCTAAATCATTACAGAAATCCTTCCATTCAGAAGAAAGATTTATAGGCAGGCTTCAGGCAAATTGTTGCATGAATATCCAGGGCCACACTACTAATATCTCAGGCCATCATCCCAAAGGCTGTCACAGACCTTCCAAAGTTAATCTAAACAACTATCAGATTATCACAGAGATAAACTGATATAGTGATCCACCACCATTGAAATAGCTTTCAAAGAGATACTTGAAATATTTCAAAGCTCTCAGATTGGTATTTGTTTAATTAAACATTTGTATGTTGTATCACATGAGTAATGACACTTGTAAGCTCTGTAGGTCACTATGTAATCACGATTGATTACAAGACAAAACATTGGGGAGGATAACAGGCCAGAGAAATAAATGGAGGAAGGAATGAAGGAATATAGAGACTGTTATGGGCTATAACAGGACAAACTGTTAGTTCTAAAAGTCTTTTGTTTTTATTGTATTCATAATTGTATTTTTTATTTTTACTGTGTAGAGAACTTTAGCTAGGGGATCATTGTTTATTGGAAGGATTGTTGGACTGTGTCTTGAAAAGGAAAAGAGGTAAATTATGAGGTTTATAGCAGGCTACTCAACTTTGGAAGCCTCAGGGGCCACAATGGTACTTACAGCACATGCCAAGAGCTGCAACTTAAGTGTGTTTGCATATATGTAAAACTATACATGTAAATATATGCAAATAGCTTCCTTCACACTGACAGGCATGAATACAAAGATTAAGGGAAGACTACACAACACGCAGGCCCCATTTAAGTCAGTTCTACTGATATTAATAAAATGCAATATTTACCCGATTTCCACCCATTTGACAGCATGTTTTAATGAGCAGTGACAGTCCAGGAATTTAACTACTAAAACGCATATCAACACAAACTGCTCTGTAAATCCAAACCACGCCACAGGCCGCGTGTTGAGTAGCCCTGGGTTACAAGATAAAGGAAGACATTCCCAATGTAAGGTCTAGCGTGTGAGAAGTCACAGAAATACTTCTAGAGACAAGAAAAAGCATGCGATGGAAAGAAAGACATAACATAGAGGAGAATGGTAGGCAGCCACTGATGAGACATAGGCAAGAGCAGAGCTGGAAAGAGGCTGACAAATTGAGGTCATTGAGTTTGAAATTGCCACACAAAGGACTGTAGAGCCAGTGAAGAGATTCATGAAAGAGAATGAGGTGGTCAAAAATGAGTTTTGCGGTGACATTTTGGATAGATTGGATAGGAGTTGGGAAGAACAGAGAAGTACAATAGTCCAGGTGGGAGGTTATGGATTTTGGATGCACAGTAAAGGAGGAATCAGAAGAATTTTAAAACATCCTGAATATGAGAGGTAAATGAAAGGAGTTAAGGATAACATCAGGCAGCTGGGCCTGGAGAATGGGAGGGCTCAGGGCATTATCTACTATCATGGAGAAGTGAATAAGAAGGAAGAAGTTGGGTGTGAAATAAAGAGCTCTGTTTTTCTTATGTTGAGAGCATTCCTCCAGTCCAGAGATACCATAGGGATAACTCCAAGCTACTGAAGATATCCCTTTATCACAGAAATAATGTTGCTCTGTTGTTTGCATGATATGTTGCATGATTTCCACACGCAAATAGCCTGCTTCACTGTTGAAGTACAGTAATATCACATGGGGGTGCTTTTAAAAGTCTCTCGATATCTTCTTTATAAACAACTTTTCAGAATTATTTGTAACTGTCCCTTATTGTTTCAGTGCAAAAGGCACTACAGTATAGAAGTTCTTTGCTCAGAAGCCCTGTTTTTCATTAAAAGATAAAATCAAGAAAAAATATTTAGATCGATTTGGGCTTTTTTCTTGTTTGTTCTCATGTCCTTAAAAATCTGTTTTTAACACCATTTTACAAACTATAAGGCTATAAAATGGCCAATACTGCTGTGGGGGTTTTTTTTGTTTGTTTTTTAAAATCATTGTGTACTCAGTATATTATATAATACACTGGTATTTCAAGGCTTGCAGAAGAAAGCATGATCTTACATACCAGAAGTGCTTGGTTTCTTGTGAATTACAGAGTGATACAAAGATAGAACATCAGCCTCATTTTGAATTTAATAGCTTTTTTCAGACTCTTAATTCACTCTTACCATTGTTTATTTGTATTTCACACAAATATATATATATGAATATATCTGTGATGTGACATAAAACCGTCATAGCTTCTTTGCTTTCTTTTTTCAGGCTGCTTTGCTGAATTCCTTTCCTGCAATCTTTGATGAGCTATTACAGATGTTCACAGTGCAGGAAGTAGCAGAGTTTGTGAGGGGAACTCTAGGAAGCATGCCTAGTACTGTGCACATCGGACAGTCAATGGATGTAGTTAAGCTGCAATCTATAGCACGCACTGTGGACAGCCGCCTGTTTTCTTTCTCGGGTAAGATAGCAGCATCCATTTGTAATACTTGCAGCTGAATGCCCCAGATATCCAGCGAAGTGATAGTAGGATCATACATTTTTTGCAGCTGCTTTCTTGAGACCTATTCATGTAGGTCAAGTCCTTAAGGTGAAGAACACATAAGAATAAGTTAATTTCCTAAAAGTTAAATATATACAGGGTTTGGCTCACTGTGGGTATGTCTACACTGCAGAGTTTTTTCAGAAAAACGGCTGTTTTTCCGAAAAAAACTTCACTTATGTCCACTCTGCAATCATGTTCTTTTGGAAAAAACAGAGGTGTTTTTCCAACATTGGTAAATCTCTTTCTACGAGGAAGAAGCCTTTTTCCAAAAGAGCTCTTTCAGTAAAAGGCATATGTGGACGGGAAAGAAGAAGTTCTTTCAAAAGAAGAGGAAAGAGGAAAAAGCACATGTGCCCTGGTGGCCTCTCCATCCATAATAATCACAGCTTAAATGCAAGATAGCATCCATACTGAATGGACACTATCTTTCGAAAAAGCAGATCGCTTTTTCGATATGCTTTTGCTGAGTAGATGCTCTCTTTTGGAAGATCTCTTCCGGAAAAGCTTCTTCCAAAAGAAGCCTGCAGTCTAGACATAGCCTGAGCTGCTGTAGAGAACTAGAAAGCAGCATGAAGTGAATAAAGGGCCACACAACAGGAAATTGATGTCTGTGATTTGCAAGCACATTTCAAGTAATCATCAGGCATACTATTTAGCTGTGCAATTAATTCATTATTTAGTGTCTTTGAAATGCATTGCACTGAAAATCTGTTCTGTAGAAATCACACCAATTAATCAGGCATGCTGTTTATCAGGGGGCCAATTGAGTGAATTTTGCTGTATCAGCATCCTATATTAATACTAATTCCTCAGTTTCCACATACACAGTTTTTGGATAATATCAAGGCCGCTGAAATTCAGGTCTCTCCGAGAATAACTCTGAGTCTTGTTTCCTTCCTTCAGAATCCCGACGAATCTTGCTCCCTGTGGTTCTTCATCACATTCACCTTCATCTGAGACAGCAGAAGGAGTTACTCATCTGCTCTGGGATACTCAGTAGTATCTTCTCCATTATCAAGACCAGCTCTGTGGTAATCTGCCCACCAGTCTTCTCCATTCCAACACTAAATTGCTTAAACACAGTCAGAGAGTTTCTGTTGGATGTATATCTTTTTATGGATCTTTATATAGTAGAACTCTAACTTTATTAGCCGCAAGAAAATTCGTTAAACTGCCTTTGTGTGTATGACTCATAGTATTCTAGTTATAGCATGTTCTTGCTGTTAAAAAAAAATCTTATACAAGCCCAGCAAGACTGACACTATTTAATTTTCTTCACCCTAGCCTGGAATTCACTTATCTGTGGTGCTCAAAAGTCCTACCCAGCTCTGTCACTTTCAGTTCTGTAGAAGACAGTAACTAGCATTTTATGGTGACTGTTAAGAGAACTCTGTGAAATTATCCAATCAATGAAATCACACTTATTTTCAGAAATTACTGCTGATTTAACATTGCCAGTTTCCTACAGGGCAATAAAATAACCCATGTTAGGAGGAAGTCAATGATGTTAAAAATAAATCACATTGATGAGTATTTAGTGCTGTGAACTGTGGTTCTGTAAGTTTTAATAGGATGAAAGATGCGATTAAAAAATATTAATGTAATAAATATAGGGGAATGGAAGTTGAGCCCCATTGTGCTACATAGTAAACAGGTCTCCGATTATGGATGTATGTCTTTTGATATGTTCCTAGATCTTTCTGTCAAGGAGGGAGGAAGTGGAAAGTCACATACTGCAACATTGAAGCCATGTGACAATGTCAGCTATCTAGGGCAATGTTTACTTTCTCTCTCTGAACCTCCATCTGCAGGAATCTCTTTTGGTGACAACTCTTCCTGAGTTTCTCTGAAGTTGTTAGTCTCACCATGAAGGCAGTTCCTAGTGTGCTTGGAGCTGCACATTTGGCTTGCCATTTCCATTCTGTCCTCAGCTGCTAACTGTCTGTTTTCTTACTGCTCGCTGTAGGAGGCAGATGTAGTGGAGGAGGTTGAGATGATGGTGGAGAGCCTCCTGGATGTACTTTTACAGACTCTGCTTACTATCATGAGTAAATCACAGTCTCAGGAGGCGGTAAGAGGGCAGCGTTGCCCGCAGTGCACAGCCGAAATCACTGTTAGTAACTAACAATCAGGTTCTATTTCCTTCTTTTCTAACGTTCAGCTCCCTTTCTCCCACTCCCTCACAACCACCTACACCTCATTAGCATCTCTCCTGCATGAACAATCACAGCTTTATCTCCTTCCCTTCCCACTCATGGACCCATTCCTTCCACTCTGAAAAAATCTGTCTCAGTGCACTAGTCAGGCTGCTTCACATTTACATCAGCAACCAGGAAGCTTTCCTGGTTGCTATAGTTACTGTCTTGGATTATATGTGAAATTAGGTTTGCAAATTATCATTTGGTAGCCACTGGCATATGCCAGCAAGGAGATTATTTAGGACTCCACCTTTAAATGGGTACCAGAATAACACTGGGAATATTATAATTTCTTACCAGCAGGCCAGTGCCACTCACTTCAGTCCCTGGATAGATTCTGCTAAATTGAGCACTTGCCACAAATGGAACAGGACATCTAGCTGGAGAAGGAAATACGTGCCAGGGAACTGGGTGTGTCGCTGAGCTGGTGGGGAGGAAAGGAGCAAAGATAGAGGAAGATAACACCACTCCTGATCTTTGCATAAGATGCTAATATGCTTAGAGCTGGCCCAAATTATTCAGCTGCATGGGATAAAAAGGGAATGAGAATTCTTTGTCATTCACTGACGGGGGGAGGGAAGATAACTTTCCCATTCAGTCTTCTCTCTTCCTGGACTCATTACACTACATATTCTGTCCTAATGCTGCTTTTACTTTGATTCAAACACAGAGATGCTATCAGCACTGCTTGTGTTAATCTCTGCTCCAAAACACTGTCCACACAATGTTAATTCTCTTGCTCATTAGCTAGGAGTTTTGAGTGTGCTGTGCAGAAAGATGTGTTAGTGCCTCCAGACTAGGAACAAGGGTGTTTCCTCACCTCTTGTTAGCCAAAATGCAGTAACAAACATGACGTACATTTCTAATGATGACAGGGCAGTTTGTAAGGGGGAGTCTAGAGTTTACCTTCACTTACTAATATGTTACAAAACTGCCTGGACTTCAGTGTGATATTAGCTTGTTTTAGTTGCATGTGTTAGCTGACACATGGTCAGAACACACCTTAGTATAGACGAGGTGTTAACATGAATTGGAGAGGCTCAAAAGTTTAAAAACATTCCAGGGCATTTGGGCAGACACCGGAGTCCACCTGAAGAAGGAACTTGCCCAGAATACCCCATATAGAAAATCTCCTTGGAAACACTTCATGAACACTCATAGTTAGCCCAGTATCTATAATATGTGACAAAAGGTTAGGCGGTAATTACAAAATCTTTGCAATTGTTTAAAAATAAGTTGCTTCTGTGGCTTAAAGACGTAAGTGCTATAAAGAGACATGCCTAATAGAAATAGCAGGGAACTCATAATGTGGAGATGAATACAATTCCTGACTGTCACCAACTTGCAACAACACCTGATACAGTGCCTAGCCCCTTGTGCTGTATTCTTCAAATGAGCAAGCCCCTCCATTTTCACACATCTTGTAAGGCACTTTGAGAGGCTGTAGTGAAAGGAGCTACATAACTGCAAAGCCTTAAAGACGAGGCCATAGCAGCTTCTCTTCTCCCCATGGGAGATTGGAGCGCAAGCAGTGGCGCTCATCTGTCAAACTCTCCAGGAAGAAACAACCCACTTGTGATGGTCACTCACCTATTCTGCTGGTCAGATCATGAAATTTACATTTACAAATTAATCTTCAGTCCTTAGGAATAAAACAACAGCAGAACTCAAACAGCTTTCCTGTTGTTTGGCTGGCTTTTGTTGGAGCCTTGAGCCAACTTTAATTAAGTGCCTTCATTGAGAGACCATCACAAAGAAAGAAAATGTGTACGTTAAATTCTTCATGAGAGAACTTTTGTGGCTGTGCCCACGAAAGCTCATGATACCATCTACATGTTTTGTTAGTCTATAAAGTCCTACCAGACTATTTGTTGTTTTTTAAGTTTATCCTGTACAGACTAACTCGGCTATGCCTTGAAGCTATTGAAACCCAGTGAATGTTAACATTTGATATGGTAACTGGCTTAGTGAGAATGAAATTGTCAAAAAATTCATGCTGGGAGAGAGACCCTTTGACTCTCAGCATTAACCATTTAAATGCTGATATTTGCAGTAAGTCCTATGAAAAAATTAGCACATACAGCTAAGCCTCTGAGGGCACGTCTACACTAGCTCATTAATTCAAGCTAGGTAGGCAAATGAAGCAACCGGAGTTGCAAATGAAGCCCGGGATTTAAATATCCCGGGCTTTATTTGCATGTTCCCGTCTGGTCACCATTTTGAAATTTCACTAGCCCGAACTCTCCGCCGCGCGGCTACACATGGCAGTGAATCGTTAATTCGAACTAAGTCCTTAGTTTGAATTAACTGTTACTTCTCATTCCATGAGGACTTAGTTCGAATTAACGTTTCACTGCCGCGTGCAGCCACGCAGCAGTGAGTTTGGGCTAATGAAATTTCAAAATGGCGACCGGACGGGAACATGCAAATAAAGCCCGGGATATTTAAATCCCAGGCTTCATTTGCAACTCCAGTTGCTTCGTTTGCCTACCTAGCTCGAATTAATGAACTAGTGTAGACATGCCCTTAGAGTTTTTACTGTGTATGAACAGGAAATAGAGATCTTTTGGCATACAGTATTTTTAATCTCTGCACATGAGCTTTTCTTTCATATGCATTGGTGCCATTTCAGACCCTACCCTTTATCTTCTACCTCAAGTTGAATTGTACATCTACACTTTTATTTGATTGCCTGGATTAAATACTGCTTCATTTACTTGACAGGGAGAGTATGTGTCCTGTCTCTTGTCTCTGCTTCGTCAGATGTCAGACACACATTTTCAACATTTACTGGACAACTTCCAGAGCAAGGATGAGCTAAAGGTAGGACAGAACATCAGGGGGTTTAGAAGTAGCTATTAAATATTATCTTCAGAAATCAAATAGATGGGCATTGCAGAAAGTGTTTTCACTTACTCTGCAAAACATCCACATTCTCTGTAGATATAGTCACTATTTGTTTCATATACTTCGTTTATTATTATTTGAGAAAAGGATGATCTAGTGGTTAGGCACAAGTCTAGGAGCCCTTCCCAGGCTTCTTGTGTGACCTTGAACAAGTCACCAAAGGTATGTCTACACTAGGGATGTAAATGACAGTCAAATATCCGATAAGCAAATGCTTATTGGATAGTCGACACACTAGTGTCGACACCCTGCCCCCCGCTTTGCTGCCTCTAGCAGAAAGAGGTGGCAAGAGTTGGGGGATGAGGAGGGGATGCTTCAAAGCAGCAGTACCATATGAAGCCCGGGGCCAGACCCTGGGCTCTATGCAGCGCTGCTGCTTTGAAATGCAATGGAGAGCCCAGGGTCTGGCCCCAGGCTCCACACTGCTGCTGTTTGAGTCCCCCGCTGGCCCTGTGCTCCCTGCAGCGCTTTCGCTTTTGAAGTGTAGCAACAGCCCTGAAGCTGTTGCTACACTTCAAAGGTGGAGGTGCCCTATCAATTGCATCAACTATTCAATTAACCAATTAATCTAAATTTAACATCCCTAGTCTACACTGCAAAGTAAACCCCATGGTGCCAAGTCTCAAAGCATGCTTCCAATGACATGAGCTCATAAGGTGCAGGGCTAAAAATAGCAGTGTAGACATTCCCATATGGGTTGGAACCTGGGCTCTGATGCCAAGCAGCAACAGCTACACTGCTATTTTTTGCTTAGCAGCCCAAGTCCTGCAAACTTAAGTTTGTTAACCCCAGGGGTTAACCTGCACTGTGCTGCAGGTTTTCCTTTGTATTGTAGACATACCCAGAGTCTCTCTGCTATGTCTGTCCTCCAGCTGGGAGATGTGACTCTTCTTAATAGAGTGTGGATGGTGTGGCACTAGCAGTGGCTCAGGATAGCTGCCAGAGTCCAAGCCTGCCCACCCCCTGAGTCTGAGTCATCTGAGCTCAGATGACTAGCCTGAGCTGGTGCAGCAGTTTCCACACTGCTATTTTTAGTGTGCTAGCATGAGTCTGTCTACCTGCCCTGCCCTGAATAACACCACTCAACTGCAGTTAGTCACACTCATCGCACTTCCCTGCCTGGTGGTAGTAGTGTGAAGACTGAGGATAAATACATTAAAGATAGCAAGGTGTTCTGATCATATGACAATAAGGACCAGGTAAGTACCTGTGAGAGGTATTGTCCTGGTACTATGTGAAACAGGCCTGAACTACAGACCAGTTTTCCTTTTCTGTTTATTCTGCAACCTATTGAAGGACATGGAGATTACCTAAGAGCTCACTTAGGAAAAGGTTTAAAGTTTGTTCTTATGTCAAAAGATAATTCTATTCCACAGCAGGCTTTTGCATACCAAGCAGAGAAAAAACGGCAGCAAACTGTGCATTGGTCAGTTAGAATAGTGACCAGCCTAACTCACCTGGTGTATGTAAACAAGCCCCCCAAACTTAGTACACAGTTGAGGTACCCTCACTGGTGGCTTCCCAATCATCATCTGCTTGGAGTGTCCATCTCAAAGAAAGAGAAGCCTATTTGTTATGACTGCATCAGTATGAAGGCAGCATGTCTCAGACCGCGGTAAATGGATCTGAAGTGCAGAATAACTTCAAGAAGCAATATTTAAATCTGATGGAAGTAACAGTCATGTTGTCACTTTTCTTTTCACAGCGTGATGATGGGGTTAGAGACAAAATGTTTTTGTGGCTAATGTGAAAGCTCAGAAATAGAGCGAATAGTAATACCAAACTGGCACCATTGTAGAAACCTGATAACACTGAACAAACAAGGTGGAACAAAATCTGAGGTGCTTTTGGAAGAGGTTGTCAAATTCCAGTTATTGTACGTACCAATGAAAATACATCCTGAGAGAGTCTGGCTCAGAGCTATAGACTTTAGGATAAAAGAGCCTCTTAACCCAGTGATGCAAGTAAAATACATTTCTTGCCGATATTGGGGAGTGAGGAACCAGCTAAGGGGGGGACGGACGGACACGTGACCTCCCTATATGACCATCCATGTGACTCCACCTCACCCTGAGCCTGGGGCTTCCATGCTCTTCCCCTCCCTTTCCCATCCCATATTATGAGGTGGGGAGACTTGCAATTGGTACAACAGCTGGAAGAGCTGTCGGCAGTTCTGCTTTCTCCATTCTGCCCCTGCCAGCAGAGAAAGGAGCAGAAGCTCCAGCTCCAATCCCAGCCCTTCTGTGGTGCTGCCCGCCTCTCCTCTGGCTCCATACAGCGCCAGCCCTGCCATCACCTCCTCTGGCTGTTGTACTGATCTCAGCACCACCTTCCAGGGGGCTGCTGCTGGACAGAGCTGAAGGAGAAGTAGCTTCATGGAAGCTCAGGGGACAGGGCAGGCAGTAGGGGAAAGGAGCAGAACGCTGGCAGCTCCTCAGGCTGCTGTACTGTTCCCAGCTTCCCTCCAGACCTGTGCTCCTGCAGGATTGTGTACAGATGGAGCTGGAGGAGAGGCAGCTCCATGGAGGGGCTGAGGGAGGTACAGGATCTTTCTGGTACACCATACCAGCTAGAAATGTCTTGCTTGTATGGCAGACTGGACCAGACCCAGACAAGCCTACTTGCACTGCTGCTTTTACCTCTAGGTTATAGGAAAGGTGGAGCACAAATTAGTAGGCATCTGAAGTTGTTAACTTTTGACAATTTCTTCAATGGCCCACATGATACGCGTTGGCACACTCTTATTGAGACGTAAGTAGACATAGAATATGGATAGGAGTAGAGCTTGTTGGAAATTTTTGTGGAATTTTTAACAAATGCCGGTTTCATCACAACTGAAATATCTTTGAAAAATTTCAAAACAAAAATATTTCATTTCAGTACATATTTGTTTTAAAATTTAATTTCAGATTTCTAAATTTTGTTTTGGAATTTGAATCTTTGCTTTACATTTTCAAAATTTTATTTTGAATTCTATATTATTGTACATCTTTATTGGTATATTATTTTACATCATTTTATGTCAGCAGTATTTCACAGTATGTATTACTAGTAAGGCCTCATATTATATAATTGTTTAAATATTCTGTTTTTAATACATATTTTTATTTTTTAAATAATTAATGACAGCTACTAAGATGTTGCCATCAAGTACTAAGAAGCAGCTGTATTTAATATTTACTACATGTGCATATCATGAAATAAAAATATAGTAAAAATTTAAAAAGAACATTTGAAACAATTTTTTAATTTCCAGAATAAAAAACTAGCTTCCAAAACAAAGCTGAATAATCCAAAATAAAATTTAAAAATTAAAATCTTTCAAAACTGTATTTTGGGGGAGAAATTTAAAAAAATATTTGTTTTCTGCCTGAATCAGAAGAAAATAATTTTGAAATATTCAGTAAACCAGAAATTACAAGTTTTCATAGAATCATAGAATCCTAGGGCTGAAAGAGACCTAAGGGGGAAATCGAGTCCAGCCCCTTGCCCAAAGCAGGACCAACCCACTCTGTTAAGTAGTTTACTCAAGAAGATTTTTGAAGTTGTTCTTACCTGACATCACAAATACCACTATCGCAGCTGGCAACATTTTTGACAGTCCTTGTAAAAAGGCCTGTGATTAAATTGGCTATGGAGATAAGGATGTAACTACATTGGTATAACTACAATCTTTACACCTTTTCTGGATTAAGGTCATGCTGCGATCAATCTTCCAGAGTTTGATTTAGCAGGTCTAGTAATGATCCACTAAATTGAACTCAGAGGGTGCCAGTACTCCTCTTCCTCATGAGGACTAAGGGAAGCCAATGGGACCATTAGCTCCTGTTGGTCTCCCACTGTGGAGACTGTGTGGAAACTCGAATTAAGGTACGTTGACTCCAGCTACATAATTAATGTAGTTAGAGTTGCATATCTTAATTTGACTTTCCCGCATAGTGAAGATATGTCCTAAGAGAGAATTACTACCACAATTATATAAAAGGGAAAAATAAGTCAGATAAAACTTAAGTGATTTATTCAAAACCAAAAGGTGAGTCATTGGCGGTGCCAGTATTTGATCTCAGGAGTTTTTCTCTGTCTCTTACTTAGGACTATTAGACCAGCCTTCTTTCTCCCTTAGGTCTCCTTGCATGTTAGGCCATGTCTTCACCATGCAGGAAGGTTAAATTAAGATATGCAACTCCAGCTATGTTAATTACATACTTGGAGTTGACATACTTTCATTTGAGTTTCCACACAGTCTTCGCTGCAGGAGGCTGACAGGAGCCCATACTCTGTTGACTTCCCTTACTCCTCGTGAGGAGCAGGAGTATTGGTACCAATGGGGGCACCCTCTGAGTTTGATTTAGCAGGTCTTTACTTGCAGCATCAACCTTCCACTTAGGGAAGACATGGCCTCGGAAATAAATGCACAGCGGTGGCCAAGGCAGTATGAAAGGTTGCATAGTGCTGTCTGTGTCATGTCAACTTCTGCATAATCAAAAGATCAAAGTCTCCAAAGTGGTCATTATGGCATGTTTCATGACCACTGCAGTCTTTTTATCCGTCTGTCTGTTGCTCTCTCTTTCTCTCCCGCACACACACTAAACGGGTTCTTACATTACATAACCTATACAAGTTCAGTTTTATTCAATTTTTAAATTTATGAAAGAAGTGCCTAGACCTTGAAAGCATATTCTTTTCCCTGAAAATGGCACACAGGGAACTCAGACCAGTGTTCTGCATGACACTACTGAAATGTCATATGAAATAAAGTACAATGAAGTTCTGCATTGTAAATTTGAAAATATAGGAGAATGTGCTTGTTGAAAACAACTGTATCTGCCTCATTCCTGTGTATGCTGCTTCCATTTTCTAAGCTATGTAGTCTAGTGACACGGGGATCAAGCAAGGGAAATATAATTAGCTTAATTGTCTTGGCTGTGGTTAGGAAAGTACATTTGCCTACAGCTGCCACTGCTCCTTATTCTCTTCTTTCTGTGTTGTGTTTCGAAATCTGATGAAGATGAGTGTCTTTCCCCGGGACTGGATGGTGATGAGGTTACTCACCAGCAAGTGAGTGAGGATAGGTTTAAAGCATTGAAAGTTTGTGAAAGAGCTCTTGGGTTCTCTAAATTAGGGCTTCTCAATCCCAGAGAAGCAGTGTGTTTTAGTGGGCAAAGCTTTGGGACTGTCGGTAGGAACTCCTCCTAAGTGCTAATCCTGGTTCTGCAAAGTTACATAAGCTGTCTGAGCAAAATTAGGGCTTTAGTCCGTGAATGATCACTTGCAAGTTTTACATGCTAACAATGGGCATGCATACTATAGAGTTAACAGAAACTTCTGTTTGTCTGCGAAAACCAAGTGCAAATAGGCTTTCAGTATGTCATTTGTGCACACGAGTGATAGTGAGCTAAATATCTGTGCAAATCTGGTTAAATGTGGAGTTTATTTACCTTTGAACATCTGCCCCTTTGTCTGTTTTCCCATATGTAAAGTTTAGGTACAGCTTGGACTTCCCTGGTCTGGCACCAGGAAATCTGCTGGACCAGGGGAGATCCCCTGGTGTGGCCCCTCAGCCTGCCACTCTTCCCTACCTCCAGCTCATTCCACCCCGGTCGGGCTGCTTGCTGGCCATCCCAACCCCGGTCCTGCTGAGGCCCCTGCCAGGTGGCATGTGACCCCAGTGGTGGCTGGATATATAGTGCTTGTGGTCTTAATTTTCCTTTTGCCAACATTGTTACTTATCTGCCTTCATTGTGTCTCAATTAAGAAAAAAAAGCCACACAACTCAACAAGGAGTTTTCTTGCAGTTTGTGCTTGGTGCATTGCCTTGGCCCACTGTTCTTGAGGTCAGTGACTTCTAGAGCCAGCTTACTACTGATTCTCAAACTGCTCTTTGGATGAATGACCAGAGGACTTAACCTAAATCAGCGGTGGACTCAAGTTTTCAGAAAAGAAGGGGCAGGCCTCAGCTCTTAAATCTGATGACAAAGCATCATATTGAAATAGTTATTTCTTGATTAGGCAGCTGAAATTTGGGCTGGAATGATTTGATTTTTATTTTTCCCCTTTCAAGCTTTTCCTGTTGTATTTAGCAGGAGCAGGCTGAGAGCCAGGATTATAGCTGGAGGCTGGGATTACCTAGTAGTGTCTCATCTCATTAGCTAGTCTAGCTGTAGCACTGCAATTGCCAACTGGAATACTGTAGGGGTCCACATTGCAAGATGATGTCGTCGACCTCTTCCTGAATCCTGATTGGTCAGCTGTTGTGGTGGTGTATGCTCTGTGAGTTCACAGTGCTGATGAAAAGTGAAAGAAGTGGCTTTAGATCTTGTCAGCCCCCCAGGTTACATGTTGTACAACAGGAAAAGAGACATCCATCTAAAGTAAAAAGACCTGGTTACCTAAAATACTCTAACTAGCCTGATCGCCTGGTGCTGCTTAGCTGGAAATCTCTTCAGTTGAAATAAAGTGCCTTTATCAATGTCACTGAAAGTATCACATGAATGAGATGCTGAGCTTTAGCCTATTTCTTTTTTTATACCAGACGAATTAGACTTTAATTCTTGCATGGTATGTGATTTGTTCCCATTTATTAAAGGCATTTATGTACCTACAAAAACATAAGTTTCCCAGTGAACCCAGAGCTTACAAAATAATACCCAAAATGTACAGAGGAGATGTCTGACCAAGTGACAGATATGCAGAGGATCAATTTACAGCAAATTCCAAAAACTCTAAAGGATTATGCCTCCATGAAAAATGCTGCTTTGATGAAAGAGATGTACATAAACAAAAATAAATAACTTATGTTTGTTTTTTTATTTATTAACTTCAGTACTGGACTTTTGAAAATAAACTCATAAATTATAAAAATACTCTTCAGTTTCCAAATCTACAATATTTCAGAAAAATGTATTTGTGAATTCTGCCTTGCATTATTTACTATTAAGTCTTTGTTTGAAAAAGCACCGTGACCTTTATGTTGATAGAGTGCCAAAATGCATTTTGAAATGTAACAGAAACAGTACCAAGTGCTCAGACCCATTGAAAGACTCTTTGACTGTGATTTGTACTATAAATTGAAAAGTATCTCTTTTTTTTTTAAATTATAGCATCATAGTTACAACAGTCCAGTATCTGTCCTCTGCCCTGCACAAGAACTTCACAGAAACAGACTTTGATTTTAAGGTAAGGATTGAGATCTAGAAAATTCATGACATCTTTTAAAATTAGCAGCAATGCAGGAACAGCAGCTACTCCATAGTTATGGATTATATTCACCGTGTTTGTTAGCTAGGAAAATGAATTAACTGTTAGAGAGAGTTATCCAATTCTGCTAAGGCTTTGACTGAACTAAGAAATCCCAGAACAGTGGAAGCATTATGAATTCTAGTGTTTGAAAAAGTGAAACTGTTTGCATTGACTAAAGTCGAGAATGTAGAGTGTCTAATGTAATTCATAGCACACAGCATGTTGTGGTTAGGGCGTGAAAAAGTGTTCAGTAGTACAGGTGTCAAGAGGTGAAGGTCCTACATCTGAAACCCCAGCACTCCTTTGCTGCTGGGTTCTTTTAATTGTCATTCCCTCCCATATTTGTAAAATTACCGGCACTGATCAAAATTAATTAATTATTGCAGCTGTTTTATTTAGACATAATTTCCCCTGATGTATATCTGTAATATACATATATGGATTGTATGTTTGTGTTCAGAACTTGTTCTGCTTTTGGACTCTCATATGTTGAATTTCCTTACTGGTTTCTAGGTGTGGAACTCCTATTTCAGCTTGGCAGTTCTGTTTATAAACCAGCCAAGCCTACAGCTAGAAACTGTCACTCCAGCTAAGAGAAAGAAGATTTTGGACAAGTAAGAACATGATTTCCTTACCTCCAAAAATCTGATTTTTCTCTCACCTCAAAAGTAGGACATATGTTTTTATTACATGCTCCCATACATTGCCGGAGGTGGGAGGAACCTCTCCAGAAAAATCACAATGTTCTTTAAAAGTATAACCTTGGTTTAAATATTAATTTTATTGTATTAGATCACCAACTTGCTGCATTGTGTTCCATTAAGGGGTTTTTATCTATGTCTTCTCTTTCAGATACGGTGATATGCGAGTGATGATGGCATATGAGTTGTTCAGCATGTGGCAGAATCTGGGTATGTCTCTGTTTCCTGTTCATTTCCGAACCACCAAAGCAAAAGTTGTCTATGGCCAGATCTACACTATGGGAGAAGTTGCATTTAAGATACGCAACTCTGGCTATGAAAATTACATAGCTGGAGTCGACATACCTTAAACCAAATTTCTGGGGCGGCCTTACTGCAGGAGGCCGATGGGAGAAATTCTCCCATCAACTTTCCGGTATTCCATGGAGTTGTGAGGAATAAGGGGGCGCCCTCAGCAGTCAAATTAGCAGATCCTTACTAGACCTGCTAAATCAGACCCCAGAAGATCAATCTCTGGAACATTGATATTTGCATTAGTATAGACAAGGCCTAAGAATTGCACTACTAATAATCAATTTTAGTGCTGTGACACTAGAGAGCTCATGCTGAGTCTCGTAGTTTCTTTGAAATTTTTGAACAAAAAATGACTTTCTGCATAGCTTCATGTTGATATTTTTCTCATTTGAAATAACACCATCCTATGAATTTGAATACTTTACTCTCAAATGATGTGGTGCCTGGTTTCAAAAGCTTTTCTTTGGTATTCCCAGATAATGTACTGCATAAGCATTTGGAAATCCCAGCTACAGGCAGTCCCCGACTTACGCGGATCCCGTCGCCCGTGTACTCCGGGGCGAGAAAAGCTGCTCTGCGTCTCCCTGGTCTCGGCTT